CCCCAAGCCTGTTCATCCTGCTAATGCTGGGTACAGAAACGTTAGTATCTGTGTAGTATCTGTTCTGATCAGTTTAATATCTGATCCGTGGACCATCGGACCACACGATATTAAATTATTTTTTCTGGGCCACGGAGGGGTTGTACGAGTAAGCTTGCTTACTTGACCCCTCCAAAAAAAAAAAAAAAAAAAAAAAAAAACGTTAGCATAGAAGCGAGGGAGAAACCCAGCGATGCTGTCCCTCTACTGTACCTAGCTAGGCTACCAGATTGGCCAGAAGGGTCACTTGCCCGGCCGGACCTAAAAAAAAATAAAAAATAAAAATTATTTTTTATTCTAAATTTGGTGAAGCATTTCTATGTGACCCTGAGGCAAAAGTTGTTCAGTTAATTTTTTTGCATAACATAGTTCTTTGTCGGCTTTTGAATTTTTTTTTTTTTTTTTTTTTTTTTTTTTGCTGGCACCTTCCCACGGTCCTTGCACGGGCTGGCCAACCGGGACCCATGCGGCCCGGCTGGTAGCCTGGGTACCTAGTCACTCAGTACGGCATTATACATCAGTTCGTCTATAAGATACCTGTAGGCCCCGTATAATTAGACTCCGCTTGGTTCAAAAGCGTCACAAAAAGTGGTCGTCCGAAGCTAAAACAGTAATCTTTTTTAGATCAGTTTCGTTTTGGATCTTGATGCTTCTAAGGGCCACATCCCACTGGCAAGGACGAATGGAATAAGAGTCTGAATGTGGACGTGTTCCACGGAGAGATGTGCCAAAGCAGATCAATCACAGTTTTCTGCACCTGGACACAAAGACGTCCAGATTCACACACTCATTCCAACCCTCTTTCAACGCTCTTTGCCAGTGGTATCTGGACCTAAGTAGTCTTGTGTTCGTTTCCCTGTTTAGTTTTCAGAAGATTTGTTTTTTTTTTTTTTTTTTTTTTTTTTTTTTTTTTTCCCTCCTCAAAATTCAGTTTCATTTACACAAAATCATTCAGAGGCCGCGGTCCTCTACATTCCTTCCCGGGGCTAGGTCCCACTTGCACGGATTAAGAGATACTGACCTTAGATACCAAAGATCAACGGCCGAAATCTCCTAATCCGTGCAAGTGGGACCTTGCCCCCGGTTCAGATCAAATCTCTGGAAGCATCATCCAGCTTAGCTTACAGGCTAAAAGCCTGCAGGTCTTTCCTACAGACCCAGCAGCTCGTTGGCTGCGTAGTAGATTTGCTTTGTTTCCATTTGTCATGGTTGTTTGTTTCTTGGGAACGTTGATTGTCCGTACGCTAACCTGACCGAAGGGGAAAAAAAAAAACAAAACAAAAAAAACTAACTGGCTGAAGCTGCCAGGATAACGCCGGGTTGAATTGTGAGGTCCCCCCGGCCTCGTCCAGACTTTATATGAATTCTGTTTTGGAAAAAAAAACAAAAAAGCGTAAAGATTTCGGGGATCCATTTTCTCTTCTACTTACACTTGAATTCGTGAAAAAAAAAATAAAAAAAAATGGCGGACATCATTTTTTTCTTTGGGAGAAATTGTGTCACACCGGTTGAACAACTAGGTCGAGCAAAACGGTGCATGAAAAAAAAAAACAAAAAAAAAAAACGGTGTATGTGGGACTTGGCCCCGGGCCAGGTTCAGGGCTTGTGTAAATAAAAAAAGGCGGAAGAGGAGGGTATTTTGGCAAGAAAAGAAAGAGATCTGGCTTAAAAGAGATCTGGCTTAAACATACCTGCCTCAGAGTTTTCTCAGAAAGAGATCTACTCTGATTGTCTCTGGATTCGAACTTGGGTCGGCATTTCAACAGTTTGCGGATGGTACTACTTGCTATGGATCTTAAAAACAAAAAAAGAACAGACCGAAAAGCCAAAAAAAAAGCGCTAGAGAGCAAGGCACGAAATGGCCAAATCGAAAACAGTTGGTGAAAAACTTGAGACTTGTGAAACCCGTGAAGAGTCTCCGAAAGAAAGCTCGGCACTTTATAAATTGGAATGTCAACTCCACTTCCAGTAGGCAAGGCGAGTTCTTGGTGCGCTTCTTCTAAGTTCTTGACACGGCCGGTGGCTCGACGAGCTGCGCACTTCTGGATCTTCTCCCTGGCGTGAGCAGTGGCAGAACTCCAAGGGTGCGCTCTCTCTCTCTCTCTCTCTCTCTCTCTCTCTCTCTCTCTCTCTCTCTCTCTCTCTCTCTCTCTCTCTCTGTGTCTCGCCCCACCTCTCCTCGTTCCCTCCCCTCGTTGTCTTTCTGTTGTCTTTCTCAGTCTGCATCCATTGTCCGGCTCTCTGTTTCTCTCTCGAGCACGCGTGCCCTGCATGCGTGTCTCTGATTGCGCCCGTGAGTGTGTTTGTGTGTCTCTCTAATTGTTTGTTCCCCCGACTAGAACGCTCGGGGATAGAGCGTGCCAAATGCAGGTATGATAACGGTTCTTTATATTTGGGGGAAGGAGTAGCGTCTGCGTCCGTATCCGGTGAATACTACTCCATAACAAAAACGTGTCTATGCGTAAGCTTTCATGTGTGTGTGTGTGTGTGTGTGTGTGTGTGTGTGTGTGTGTGTGTGTGTGTGTGTGTGTGTGTGTGTGCGTGTGTGCTGTCTTCCAGCCTGGTTTCTTTGTGGTGCTCCTGCTTGCTTATTGTTATCTTCTCGACCTGGATGGCCGTGAGATGTGCTTTTTCCTGGCCAGCTCCAATGGTGCAATGCCTGCCGGTTGGATCGTTGCAAGTGGCTAGTGGCTAGTGGCTAGTGGCTAGTGGCTAGTGGCTAGTGGCTATTGGCTATGGCTTTCGTCTCCTCGCGCTCAGCCGAACCTAGAAGGCGTCGGTTCCGACTCAGGACTGTGCGCCGTACGGGAAAGGTAGAGACTCGGTGCTTTCGGATAGAGGGTTCGATCTACTTTCTCTGTTTGCCGCTCTTCCTGCTAATATGTGCTGTGCTCTACTGATGCAATGTCTGCAGCTGCTATGCCCGTGCTCTGTCCGTGCTATGTCATCTCCCTACACCACCTATGTTCGTGCTATGCCCGTGCTATGTCATCTCCTGCGGTGTCGATGCTATGCCCGTGCTATGTCATCTCCCTGCACCACCTACGTTCGTGCTATGTCATCTCCCTGCAAGCTTGAAGCAATGGCCGCCACGTGTCACGCTACGTTTACCTGATCACGTCGATTCGGTGCGGTGTCGGATTCGAAGAAAATCAATGGCGTTCCCCCCAAAAAAAAAACCTTCTGGGACGTTTCGGTGATAGAACCACTGCTGTCTTACTGACCCGTCATATCCGTTCAGGTGTCTCGGCCTTGGCTATCTCATCATGGACGGCTGGGAGCTACCCAGTGCGTGCGATGACTCATTACTCAGGGAACTTTCGCTGAGTCTTCAGAGAGTTTGCGTTCACGTTGAGGCCGGTCGTGATTGCATGCTGCTTTCACGTAATCACGACACGGCGCTACCTCGGTGTATAATCACATGATGATCACGACGCTACGTCAAAGACTCATCATTCACGAAGAGAACGCCTGGTCCGCATTTAGAACGCCCCTCCAAAACGCAAACGCAGAAATAATGACCGTTCGTACGTTGTATTCGGGGGCGGACGGTCGATCTTGCGCGGCGCTGCATGGACGAGGGGCCAAATGACGAATGGAATACCGAAATTTCAAGCTCGCGAGACCTCGTGATTTTTTTTTTTCTTCTCTTGGAAGGCAGAGAGGGAGAAGAGGACAACAACAAACCAGAGGCTGTGACGAACTGTTTCGTCGGATATATATATATATATATATATATATATATATATAGATAGATAGATAGATATATATATATATATATATAGATATATATATATATCGTCACAAACAGAACTGCCCGGTAAACCGTTGGCAGAGCGAGAGAAGAGGACAACAAACGAGGTATATATATATATAAAAGTTTTCCAGAAGACCGCTTTCAGAGGGCCTCGCTCCACTACTGGCCACATACGCATACACGAAACATAGGAAGATTCATTCTCATTTTGCAGGGTAGTGGAGGTAGTTCCCGACTTGGAGACGGCTCGTTCGGAGCTGGCGACCTGCCTGCCTTCCCTCCAGCCCCTTCAGCGTTTGTCAGGGTGCTCTGTGCCCCTTCAAAGTTTGCGAGGATGCTGTGCCCCTTGAGAGTTTGTGAGGGTGCTGTGTGCCGAATGCTCGAATGCAAGTACATAGCAAGGCGGGATTACAAGTACAAGTACATAGCAAGGGGGCAGACATCCAAAACGTGGTGGGGAAAAGGCCCTGCTATGACCGTGCTCTAGAAAGAGTGATGTTGTTCTCTCGTGAGGAATGGAGCCCCCCGGGCAAGTCCCACTACCTTCTTCCTCCGAATACATCGGATGGTCTTTATAGCTCTATATAGACTGAAAGATGCGGTAATCCTAAATACAGCTATAATCAGCAGTCTGCAAGTCTCTGCTCAATGCCACTCCGGGGGGGCAACGGCCTGATATGCCAAGCTTGACTCAATCCTCGCATAATTTTCTGTCCGAAAGAGTTTAAGAAATTTTGACTATGTTGCACATTAACTTATTAGAAAAGAGAAGTTTGTGTTGTTCTTGTTATACTGTTACTTGTGTGATTACAGGCCTTGTCCCACTACACAACACTCTAGTACATGCATTTGCATTTGGGCGTTTTCTGAACGTCATACGTTCAAAAGATATTGGACTCATCCAAATGCTCTTGGTCTAGAAAATGCCCAAATGCATGTACTAGAGTGTTGTGTAGAGGAGAGAGGCCCAATGTTTAACCTTTCGTTGCCTTTTCTCTTGGGGTTGAGTTATTTATTGTAATCTAAAGAATTGTACTTGAAACAAGTCGCAGTCATAGTGCCTGCTTATTTTCTCTATCATCACAAACTCTTGTTCTGGACAAGCCTCTATTTCTTTTTTTTTTCTTTTCCCTTTTAGAAATTAGAAGGATGACACCCTGGAGATATCACCATCAAGACGACCCGAGATATTTGGTTCATTCATCCGGTTCCATCATCTTGATTTGAGCTTGGGGCTGCATTTCAGCAGCTCACTAATGTATCGACTGAGCTAAGGTGTGTGTGTGTGTGTGTGTGTGGGTGTGGGTGTGTGTGTGGGTGGGTGGGTGCATCCTTGCAGGCTGGTGGCCCAGGTGAGTCCATAAGAACAAAGTCTAGAAGCGCATCATGGCAAGGGGAGTGGGCAACATGTCTTCACTGGTCTTCTTCACAGTGAGCRTGCTACTGCTCGCTGTTGCATTTGTGGATGTTAGTGCATCTGGCAGCGGCTTTGTTGTTGTGAAACCACATGGCTGCACGCACGACAATGAGTGTTCCTATGGCCAGAAATGTTGTAATGGAGACTGCAACACGTGTGCTTGTTGCACCGACGCCCACTGCGGCTATGGAAAAAAGTGCTGCAATGGTGCCTGCTCCAGTGCCGCGTGCTGCTCTGACAGCCACTGCGGCTATGGAAAGAAGTGCTGCGGCGGCCAGTGCAAGGAGTGCTGCAGCGACAGCAACTGTGGCTATG